TTTAAATTAATAAAATAAAATATCAAAAATTTTAAATTTTTTTAAAAATTTGTAAACTTGATTTATAGATTAAAAATTTTTAATTTTATAATTAAATCATTAAAATTTGATGTAGAACATGAACTATTAAGTAAAGTAAGTTTAACAAGACTTACTCTTAGAATAAGTAGATCTCTCATCATTTTATCAACTAATTTTGAAAATAAAAAATTAAATAAAATGATATTTTTAAATTATTTATAAAAAATTTAAAAAATATATTTCTCTTTCTTATCGGTATTTTTTTCTCCATTAACATCATTCATGCAATGTTTCAAGGCTACCACCAATGACTAATATGTTGTTATTTGAATAAAGGGGGTAAGTTTAATAAATTTTTAGTAGTAAATTTGATTCTCTCTTTAAAAACAAAATTTCTAAGATCGTTTAAATTATTGTCAGAACAAAATGAAACGAAGAGGAATCAAATACAACATATTTAAATGTATAGTTTGACTTACAAAATAAATATGGAATATAATCAAGCCTCAAACTTTTAGCAATGGAATTGGTCCAATTAGGTACCGAAATTCCGGTTACGTACGCAATCATATAAATCGGAATCGTTAAATAAAAAAAAATATTGTATGTAAGTGTGCTTTATTAATATTAAAAATGTGTTTCTTTTAGAGTGTTTTATCGATAATAAAATCTAAATCGTCAGATCTAAATATAATATAATCATTGTGTATCGTCTATCCATCGAGTCAAATATGGGTATTCAATAACTATGAATATGATGGTCTTGTGCTTCATAGATGATCCCTCACAGCAACAAGAAAAACTTAGGAATACATAACAAAATTTGTAAGTTTGAAATGATAGATTATACTTTTGAATGTTTTCAACTTAAATAACTGTTAGAGTTTTTTCAGATGATCATTTTATTTTATTTGCCATTTTTCTTCTTTTCAGCCCTTCCAAATTAACAGGTATGTGATGGGCCATGCATTTTTTCTTTTGTTTAATATAAGTAATGTTATTTATATATACAACAAAAATTTACGATTTATGCACACTAGATAAAGATAAATGATAAGAAAAAGAAATAAAATAAAATTATTGATAATGATATAACGAAACAAAAGTAAATACATAAATATTTTAATGAAAATTATTAATACCTCAAAACATTCTTAAGGTTTACGGTTTATTTGAATAAATTTCTTTAGAAACATTTTTAATAAAGTAAAATAGAAAGAAAAATAAAATAAATTTTTTCATAAGTTAAAATTAACTTATGAATATACTATTTTGTAGAAGTTTCCTTCTATTAATTTCTCTTAAATTTTATTTTTAACTTATGTATAAGTTAGTTTTAATTTATAAAGAAGTTTATTTTGATTTTTTTTCATATTTTTCTCTCTTATAAATGATTTTAGAGAAACTTATCCAAATAGGTCCATAGTAGTAGAATCTATTTTAGGTTGTTAATATACTCTCTTTGGTTTCTCCCCAACCTTACTACTCCTCACTCTTCTCTTGTCAATGCATCTTCTCTGTTAATACTATAAATTTCCGTTCAAATTAGTAGCGTGGAATTAGAAAAGTGGCGCTTCATGCAGTTGCCATGATGGTGGATAGGGGCAAAGCTCCATATATAATTCATCATCCTTTGATTAAAAGTTATGTAATTTAATTATGTTGGAATGTTTTTATTGTTATTTCAGGTGCACAAAGTGTCATTATTTTTCCTATAAAAAAATGTCTCATATTATTTGGTTTTGGCTTTGTATCACGTTTATTGTAATTTTGAACATGCATTGATAAGTATTTCCTATTTCCAGTGCTTTTGAAGCGTTGTTTGTAACTGAAAGGTTGTGGGGTTCATGATTTATGTTTTTTGCATGCCTTCACTGGCAATGTGAAAGGTGAAGTAAGTAGAAGCCACTAGGCTATGAATATGATTCATCAACTTCACTATGACTCATATTGCTCTGCCTCTACCAAATTCCGTGTAATCATCACCATACATTATAATTCTCTGCTGCTGCTGTACATGAGACATGGAGGGCCCAGTTTCAGTTACGGCCAAGATTTGGGCTTAAGTTGGGTAAAAGGAAAAGCCCAAATGATGACTGAATGGTAGCTGGGCCTGTAATTCCACATGAGAATTTGAATGGCAGTTGATAGTGGGAAGAAACGTATTTAGTAGTTGTACTTGTATTTATGAATCTCACATTACTTTCCAGATTACTCTCGCCGCTCAGCTGAGTCACCCAACTTCTTCTTCGCTTCTTTCTTTCATTTTATTCTAATTATTGTATCACCTAAGCATTACGTCCATTAAAGTGGTTTTTAAGCTCCAAAATTTTGGAAAAATGGAAACTTGAAATACATTATGTTCAGCTAAGTATGTGAGAATATTTTTGTTTATTATCTGACTATTGCATGCATTTTCACAGTACACAAAATGAGTTCCAAATATAGTTTGGTTGCGCTTCTCTTGTTACTTCTCCACCCTATGGTTCTCTCGGGACCTTCTAATGGGATAATTAGAGTTGGATTGAAAAGGAACAAAATTGATTCAAAGGAAGGAGCAACATTGAGAGATGTTAGGCCTCTTGGTGGCTATGAAAATTCTGATGACACAAGTGATATTCAGCTAAAGAACTACATGAATGCTCAATATTTTGGTGAGATTGGTATTGGTACTCCTCCTCAAAAATTTACTGTCATATTTGACACTGGAAGTTCCAATCTTTGGGTGCCTTCCGCTAAGTGTTACTTTTCAGTAAGTCTTCATAATTTCTCTCGTTGTTTATATTTGGTGAAAGCTTTCCACAAAATTTAGTTTTTTATTCAGTAGGGTGGAAAGAAGTAAAATTGTGATTCCATGTTGTGTGCAGGTTGCTTGCTATTTGCACTCAAGATACAAGTCAAGCCAATCTAGCACTTACAATAAAAATGGTACAATCTCTCATTCTTGGTTGTTGGTCCATGGAACTTTCTTCTCTGAGATTTCCACTTCAAAATTAACCTTGTGCTTTTTTCTCGCATCACCTTTGTTAATTATATGTAAGTACTAAATAGAAGTTGAAGGCTATCTAATGGATTACCAAATTTTAATTTATGGTCTTCTCAAATGTGCTTAGTTCAGGCTTCATTAATAGTAATAATCATGTTTGACAAGCTCAACAAATTCTTAGACCAGTTTATTGTTTTGCTTACTTCACGTGTCCGTATGATGTTTTGAAATATTTCTTCCTTTGATTTTTTTATGCAGGATCATCAGCTGAGATCCATTATGGAACTGGGCAAATTTCAGGTTTCTTTAGCCAGGATCATGTCAAGGTTGGAGATTTGGTTGTTTATGAACAGGTAAATTTTGCTAACTAGGCACTTTTTTATTCTTTAATCCAATATTGTTCTATGTGTCTGTCTTTATTTAACAATCTATTTGGCTTTAGGATTTTATTGAGGCAACTAGAGAGCCTAGCATCACATTTTTGGCAGCCAAATTTGATGGCATTTTAGGGCTAGGATTTCAAGAGATATCTGTCGGCAATGTTGCTCCTATCTGGTAAGTTTATGGATGCTTGTAGTTATGTAATGGAGAATTTGAATGAAATTTTCAAGTATCATATTAACAACTCAGTTGCAACACTTATCATATTTTCATCTATTTCTCTCAAAATTGAAAATTTTGCTTTATTTGTGATTGATGCTTGTAATAGGTACAATATGCTCAATCAGCAGCTTATATCACAACCAGTTTTTTCATTCTGGTTAAACCGCAATACTGATGAGGAACAAGGCGGTGAGATTGTATTTGGTGGAGTTGATTCTGATCATTACAAGGGTGAGCACACATATGTTCCAATTACTCATAAAGGCTATTGGCAGGTAATCCATGATGAAACTTTAATAATATTTTGCAATAGCATGTTATTACAACTCATTGTTTTTATTCTATCCCTAACTATTTTTCCTTTCAAATGTAGATTGAAATGGGAGACGTACTAATTGATGACAAAACAACTGGTATCCATGATTGCATGACATGAACATACATAGTTGATAATATTCTCGAAATGGGGACATTTCAATTATACTATAGTTTTTCATTGAGAATGGAAACTATTCATTTATACTAGTTTAGCCTAAATTATTGATAAATCTTATAAGATCCATACTATCATTTTTCAGGATTTTGTGCTACCAAGTGCTCTGCAATTGTTGATTCTGGAACCTCTTTATTAGCTGGCCCAACGGTATGAAAAGGAATTCCTTTTAATGTGATAATTATTTATTTCAACAACATACTATAATAGTATTTTGTTGAAATAAATAGTTATCTCATTGATCAGTTTCTGATCAATACATCAATTGCTATATATATATATATATATATTAGCCACTAGTGTGTAATGTGATGAAATTGATTCAACGTTAAACTATTGTTTGTTTAGGCTGTCATCGCTCAAATCAATCATGCAATTGGAGCTGCTGGTGCTGTGAGCCAAGAATGCAAGGCAGTGGTTGCTCAATATGGAAAAACCATACTGGATAAGCTGATAAATGAGGTATTATTATTAATATGCGTTTATTTTCCAGTTTACGGTTTACTTTCTTGTCTCTAATTATTTTTTTGATACATTTCTTATCTCTAATGATTAATACATATCACGAGACTTAAAAATCCTACATTCATGTGTTCCACCCATATATTTCCCTCTTTTAATCAACTTCTGAATTTCCTATTATTTCATAGGCCTTGCCACAACAAATTTGCTCTCAAATTGGTTTATGTACTTTTGATGGCACACAAGGTTTAAGGTATGATCTGATCAACCTATTGTGTTCTGATGAATGTATTTAGACGATCAATTGCGTTTCATTAAAGGGAAATAGTCACAAATTCTCCTATAATTTTAGTATGGGCATCCAAAGTGTGGTTGACGAAAACATAGAGAAGACATCTTATAGTTGGAAAGATGCTGGATGCACAGCTTGTGAGATGGCTGTGGTATGGATAAAAAATCAGCTAAGATTAAATGAGACAGAAGATCAGATCTTAGATTATGCCAATGAGGTAAAACATTCTCCATATTCATGTTTCTGGAAAATAAAAATATTTTGTTTTATCAAGAATCCATACTTTGTAATCTCTATTGCATTTACAGCTCTGTGATCGGCTTCCGAGTCCAAATGGAGAATCAGTTGTTGAATGCAGTACTTTATCTGAACTGCCTAATGTTTCATTCACCATAGGGGGCAAAGTGTTTGATCTTTCCCCAGAGGAGGTATAATCATTTCCAATGTGTAGCATTTGACATCTAATTCAAAATTTCTTTCTTGGTTCCCCTTAGTATCTCAATTAGTTTTATCAAGATGCAAGTAGCTTGCTAAAAAGGCATGTTGTATTTTTTAAGAAATAATCTCCTTAGCCTCCCAAAATCTCACCCTCAAAATTCAAGTTTTCTCTGGCTTGTCCGATCTTCTAGTTGTAAGCCTCACTTATTTAGCACAATTTTTTGTTTAATGAAAGCTTGTTACATGAATCAGTATATTCTTAAAGTGGGAAAAGGAGCCACAGCACAATGTATTAGCGGATTTATAGCTTTAGACATTGCTCCTCCTCGTGGACCTTTATGGTATGTATCCTCTCTTTGTTCTCCTTGTAATATCTTCTAGCTAGTAGCTACTTTGATATAATCATTTGTTTCATTTTTCCCTCCCTCAATTAGTTTGTCCTCTTAATAACAATTTGAAGAATCTCGTCATTTAATCTCAAAACATTCATTGAAGGAACACCAAAAACATGGATGTCTCTAATTAGTATACATGTTTCACACACACTGAAAAGGGCCAAATTTTTTGTAGTAGTTTTGAGAAGAAAAAAAAGGTCCTTATGGAATATACCATGTTTTCTTCAAATTTTAGAAATATTATGCATATATTAACCTTACACTTCATGAATGTTTCTTCTGAAATACAGGATTTTGGGAGACATTTTCATGGGTCGCTATCATACAGTATTCGATTATGGCAATATGAAAGTTGGATTTGCTGAATCAGCGTAAGACACTGCTAACAAAGTTGATAATATGTATTTTAATTTAATTGCTTGCTTGGGAAGAAACTACTGCTAATTTATTTCCCTGGAATATGATTAGTAAGAAAGTTGAGGTAATATATATCGTACAATACTGTCTTGTCCAATCATTGTGCCTTATCCAGACACTACTATAACAAACTCTAAGCTTGTGATAAATGTATGTAAATACTCTTCTGTGATACTATTGTCATATATAAATTAGCAGTAACATTAACACAAATTGCAACTTGAATATAATCAAGTTAATAATTAAACTTGGACAACAAATAATGCTTCTCATGCCTCATAGTTTATTTTTTTTCGTGGAGATTTTTCATTTTGTCACACTAAGTGACCGAATATTTTACGAGGCTCAAGAACAACGATATTTGGTTGAATGCGCAAAATTCATTAAACTTTTGAAAACGTAGAGAAAACATGTAACCAGAGATCGAATATAATTGGCTTTTTATTTATTCATAAAAATTATAATAATGGCAATATAATTTGAACATAAAACTCTATGAATATTATCTAGACTTGCTCGCATCACTAAATTGATCCAAATAATTCTGAATATAATCAACTGATCATGTTTGGAGATCAAATAACTTATGGGTGATTAGGATAATTTTCTATGTTGGATCCAAAAAGATGTTAAATTATTGGGAAAATAAATACATGTCTTACCAAAGAAAATAGTTGAGATGTGCGGAATAGCTAGCACAATAAGAGTAATTATAGACTCTCGCACATTAATTTATATTGCACTTAATTAAGATATGTTTTGCTTGTATAATATTATTTTTATAAATAAAAAAATTATAAATTATTTTTTTATTCATCAAAATTATAATTACAACACCAAAATTTAAGTCTAAAATTTTGTATAGTTTACTCTAACTTTTGTTAGTATACTGACCTTAGTAGTTCTTAAACCACTTGTTTACACAAATGTTTGAGAGACTCAATTTTGATTAGTTGAGCTTGAGCCCATATCTATTAAACGAGTTAATGCCAGAAATAAAAATGATGTGTGTAACTTATCAAGAAAACTTGTGAAGGAGGGTTTCCAAGCTTTGCCAGAAAACAGCTGCTGGTGCTGTGAGCCAAGAATGCAAGGCAGTGGTTGCTCAATATGGAAAAACCATACTGGATAAGCTGATAAATGAGGTATTATTATTAATATGCGTTTATTTTCCAGTTTACGGTTTACTTTCTTGTCTCTAATTATTTTTTTGATACATTTCTTATCTCTAATGATTAATACATATCACGAGACTTAAAAATCCTACATTCATGTGTTCCACCCATATATTTCCCTCTTTTAATCAACTTCTGAATTTCCTATTATTTCATAGGCCTTGCCACAACAAATTTGCTCTCAAATTGGTTTATGTACTTTTGATGGCACACAAGGTTTAAGGTATGATCTGATCAACCTATTGTGTTCTGATGAATGTATTTAGACGATCAATTGCGTTTCATTAAAGGGAAATAGTCACAAATTCTCCTATAATTTTAGTATGGGCATCCAAAGTGTGGTTGACGAAAACATAGAGAAGACATCTTATAGTTGGAAAGATGCTGGATGCACAGCTTGTGAGATGGCTGTGGTATGGATAAAAAATCAGCTAAGATTAAATGAGACAGAAGATCAGATCTTAGATTATGCCAATGAGGTAAAACATTCTCCATATTCATGTTTCTGGAAAATAAAAATATTTTGTTTTATCAAGAATCCATACTTTGTAATCTCTATTGCATTTACAGCTCTGTGATCGGCTTCCGAGTCCAAATGGAGAATCAGTTGTTGAATGCAGTACTTTATCTGAACTGCCTAATGTTTCATTCACCATAGGGGGCAAAGTGTTTGATCTTTACAGCGTATCAATGATAACGCTTATAGACTTGATTTACCCTCTGATTATGGAGTCAGCACTACTTTTAATGTTAGTGATCTTAAATCTTTTGTAGGTGCTAGTGATGATGAGGAAGAGTCTTCAGATTCGAGGACGAATCCTTCTCAAGAGGGAGGGAATGATGGAAGAGCATGGGCTAAAGGCCCAACCACTAGAGCTATGGCCAGGAGATTACTTGAAGATTTGACTGCTTCAGAGCTTAGTGGGCCCAATGGGCTTGGTGGGCCTAGGGTGCTTCTCACTTGGGCCTTCATTGATTAAACACCATGTTTTATTGCATTACTTAGTATAGGAAGTTACTTTGATGTTTGGTCTTGTATTTTGACCATAGAATAGGGTTTTTGTATTTGGGCTTATTTTTGGGCTTCTTGAGCTTTGGGCTTTTGATACCCAATATTAGGCTCATTCTTCTTCTTGTAATTTTTCCTATTCATTGTATTTTCTTGACCATTGTATTTAGGTCATTAGATTAGGGTTTAAGGAGGATTTGTAGTCTAATTGGATTAGGTTAAACTAGGTTTAATTTAGGATGCATTTAAGTTACATTTTGAGTCACATGTTTGACGCCACCTTGGCTGAACATGTGTGACTCAAAATTAACCCTAAATGCATACTAAATCAAAGCCAAATGCACCTAGCTCTAAGTGTGACCGGTCACCACATGTGAGCTAAGTTTTGAATTCAAATTTTTGAAATTTGAATTCAAAACTTGGCGCCACATGTGAGGCTTTCACATTAGGCGCCAAGTCTTAAACATCCATGCCTTTAAGGGTAAAGTACACCATTTCTTGCCTCTGCAGACTACAAAAAATAAAAGCAAAAGCTCATAAAGAATAGAGAATGAAAAGTAAATGAAGAGGAAGTACAGAACAAAAGTGACGCTTGAGGGAGGTAAAGAGAGTGTTCCTTGAAAGAAATGATCAATAGTAACAAAAAATCATTTTTAACAATATTATAATTGATCAATTTTAAATTTAAAATATTTAATAAAAATTAATTTATCAAATTAATGTATGTAACCTTCATGTGATTAAGATTTAACTTGGGCCCTCTCCAGCTAAATAGTAATAACATGACTATACCATGTTATTGAGAGAGAAAACGAATAAATAAAACATGTATAAGTAACTGAATGTCCTACTATAATTGATTACTAGAGAGTAATCACTCTTTATTTTTATTTTTTTATAAAAGCACTAAAACTTGAACTATTTATTAATTTTTCTTTCTGAAATAAAGTATTCAATTATTACAATTTTAAGTAATTTTACTAAAAATATTATAAAAACTAAATAAAATTATTCCTTTTCTTTTAAGTATACAAAATGATATTGATCCAACCAATTAACTCAAAAGTTCTTCGTATGGCATTAGAGTTCCTATGACAATATTTAAAACTAAAATGATGAAGCAAGTTTTGCAAAACTTAATTAAGGAGACAAAAGAAAAATACGACTAAAATGGAATAAAGACTGCACCAAAATGGGTAATTTTTCTACAAGTTGATAAAGATTTGATTCCAACATGAAGTCAACATGAAAAATCCAAATTAACAAGACCTTTAACATTCATGAACTAGAGTGTATGGAGTAACTAGTTTTTTTCTTTGGTGAAATGAATAAAGTTCATTATCTTGTTTTAAATGTAATTGTTTTTTTCTTATTGTGTTTAAATTAGTTTCGGTGACTTTTCAGCTTTTCTAGGATAGATTTTAGTGTTTCCTAAGCCATTGTGATGGTTAATGGGAACTTAATACTGGTGAGAATTTAATGCATAATGAAAATGTCTGTGAAAATTTACTTTTTAGTAGGACTATAGGGAAGCTTAAATATAAATAAAGATTATGTTGTAGTTTTGAAGTAAGTTGAATTGGAATGAAATTTGAGTTTTCTCCTTTTGTGAGAGTTTTTCTTGATTTTTGGGCAAAGAACTCAATCTAAATTTATAAGACAACTTGTGACAATCAATTCTTTGACTTGTCACTCACATTCTCACATTTTTCTTGAGTATAGCATCAATATCATTTTCTAAAGAAAAACTAAAATTAATTTCTAAATTTGAATTCTTCAAAGCAGTAATTCATTTCATTTCATGTTCTTATAACAAAACTAATTCATTGACTCTAGGATTTTCATAGTCCTCATGAGAGAAGAGTGACGTGCTAACATACTTGTAGCAAGTGACAAGATGTTTGAGGTGCTACCTAGTTTGCTAAGCTTCATTTAGGGTAGTTTAAATAAACTTTTCCATAAATCTTTCTAAGAGAAAAAAAAATAGGGAGAAAAAATTTATTAAAAAAAACAAAAGTTAATTTATAGAAGTTTTCTTATATTAACTTATCTAAAAGCTTATTTTATAACTTATGCAAAGTTAGTTTTAACTTATAAAAAAGTATGTTTTATTTTTCCTTCTTATTTTTCTCTCCTTGAAATGTCAATAGAAAAGTTTATCCAAATGGACTTTATCATTTTGGGTTTGTTTAGATAAATGTCTTAAAAAAATACTTATAAAAACACTACAAAAAATATATTGTTTTGTAGTGACATACATCTTATAATAACACAATATTTGTCATCAAAAATTACTTTTACCTATAATTATAGTATCATAATTGTTAAAAGAGTAATATTATACGTATAACAAAAATTGTATAACAACTTGTGCAACAACACTTTTATGTCTATCTCTCTACCTTTAATAATATCTCTCTTCATAATAAATGAAGTGATATAGAAAAATAGATACAAAAGTGATATTGTTCAGGTTGTACAAATTTTGTTATCCATGTAACATTACTCTTGTTAGAAAAATGTAAAAACTATAATAACATATAATATATGATGTTGAATCTCGTTCGAATCAACACTAAAATTTCGTTTGAATATATGTTAAATAGATTTATACATATACATATATTGTGTTTACAATATCATTTTTTTTTGCATGTTACCATCATTTCTCATAGTGAAGAAAAAAACAAAAAAAAAGTTTTTTTTTCATAAACTATAATGTAAAAAAGAAATTCTCCAAATTAACTCATACATTAATTAATTTTAACTTGTAAAGAAATAAATTTATTTATATTTGTTCTCTTTTAAATAAATTATCCAAACATACTTTTTCTTTTTGTATTTAAAAAGGAATAGAGAGAAAGCAATGACGGCAGAGCAAAGGTGATACATTGGTAGTCATTTGAATGATTGGACTTTACTTTGTGAGAAAGAGAGAGAAAGAAGGTCCATGGCCATTGAGAAAGGGCCAAAACAAAAGGATAAATTAATTTATTTTGTTTTGGTTTGGATGTTGTTTAATAAGAGAGAGCACTTGGCACCACCATAGCATAGCATAGCATAACCTAACGTCAAAGCAAACACATGAAGTGTCATTCTATTCGATTCTTCTACTACACATTTTTATTTGTTGCCTAACCAAGTCCATCATTGGAGGACACTAAAGTAGCATACTTTCTTTTTCATCTTCTTCTTTTTGGCCTTTTCTTGAGTCTCACAAACAAAGCAACGTTGTTTAAACTTCAAATCAAAACAATGTCATTATTCTTTTATTTTCTATATTCTAATTTTTCTTTTCTTTTCTTTTTTGCCGGTTAGACTTGTGTAATGTGATTTTGGTGAAAATAAATTCTTTTAATAGGGTCTTTTATTTGGAGAGAGTTTTTCTCTTTTCGGTGAATTTGGTAAAAAAAATTAACATTCTTGGAAAAAGAAAAGTCACATGGAAATAAAAGATTTCTCATTTTTGATAGAAGAAAAAAAAAACTTTTTCAATTAAAAAAATCATAAGCATATTAATTTGTAAATAAATAAGAATAAAATTTTCTCATTTCATATGTAAGAGTAACACTTTTTTTAAAATAATTAAATGCGAAGATATTATTGGATCATGTTTATATATATATATATATAATGTAAAGTTATTAAACTTTTCTATAACAACAATAGATTGTAAATATACAGCTCTTATAAAAAGTTTAATAGCAATTAATATTTTAAAAAAAATCAAGTGATTTTATTCACAACTAATTAGTAATCCCATGAAAGTGATTTAGTTTAAAATGAATGATTATTTGTATCAAAACATTAATTTAAATTAGTTTACTCCCATAAAAGTGATTTAATTTAAAATGAATGATTATTTGTATAAATCATCAATTTAAATTAGTTTACTCAAGTTGACTAAAATTAATTAAGGAGGTGTATATGACCCGGCCTTTATTACTTAGGCTTGAAATAATTTAAGTTAGGACTTTTATATTATTTAATTTAAAATTAAACATTAAAATATTTAAAATTTCTTTTATATCTAACAAGTCAGCCTATTTAAGTAAATATGAATAATTTTATTTTGTTAGTATTATATTTATATTAAATTGGTGATAAAATATTAAAATTTTGTATCAGGTATAATTAGAGAGGCTATAAGTTTCCATTTATTTTTTATTCTTTGTTTTTCTTTTTAAAGTGAAATATAACTTTAAATTCATTTTTTATTGAATCTTCTTAATCAGTTTTTTTTTAAAAAAATATTTAAATGATTGAAAAATAAAAAGATTTGTGTAATTTGGAAAGTAAAAAAGGAGTATTAGGAGAGTAGATAATGGTTTATGCAATGCAGCAAAGACATGGAAGCTTCGTGTGGTGATGTCATGTATAAAACGTGTTGTTTTTGTGCACACGTGTTCTGAAGAATGAAGAAAATAGGAACACGTGACTTGCGTGTGATGTACTCTTTCCTTTCCTCACTTCACTACCTTCCAACTTACGTTACGTCATTCGCATTTCCGCTTCGTTCTTCTTTTCCTATTCATCATCATTTTTCAACAAACTTCCCTCATCTCAATTAATACTTCTTAACGTCTTCATAAATATTTCAATCCATTCTTCCAATTTTTTTCATTAGAGTAGGACCATATACATATCACCTGTAAAAATAGTTTTTATATAAAGTCTTTTAAAAATTGCTTATTCAACAATAAAATATTTTTTTATTATTCTCATTTAGTTGTAGAGTTTACATTAAAGTAAATTAGGAACTCAAGTTAAGTTCTTTAATAAGAACAAAATTTATGAATTTTTAAAAATCTTAAGTGACATTAATTAAGAAACTTACAAAAAGTGGGTTAAAGGTTTTTGTGACATTAATTCATACCCTATTTTATTTATGGTACAATTGTTTTTTTATATTTTTATTGAAAACAGTTAAACGTAGTAAATAGTGAATTTAAGGAAGTTGCAGTGCTCCAACTAAGTGATGTTATTTGAGGTATGGTTAGTTATTAGGCAACTGTAGAGAATTGAATTGGCTCTATGCTTTTGGTTGCTGCGTAATTAAGTAACGCATAAATCCATACTTGTCACTCCAAACTTCCTTCTTTTTTTTTTTTTTTTTTAGTTCGTCCCTGGAGTATCTACCTACGATAGCGCTACGTTTGAGGCACTTCAAAGGGTGAGATAGCTGGCCCCAAGATTTAACGCGGCTGCATACACAAGGCAGGATTCGAACCTCTGACCTTGCTTAAGCGTGGATCAACCTCTACCGCTGAACCACACGCTTAGGGTTCTTTTTCTTCTTTGATTTGCATTTTCAACCTCTAAGCACTTTTTAACAAGTACTTCTTCCTCCTTTACCTTCTATTTCACACCACCTAAACCCCAACTTTAATAATACATACATGCTTAATTAAATAAATACCTCTTAATTTCTTGTTTTACATGTCATGCATGCTGTGAGAGTCAACCTTTATTTCACACCTACGTTTCCACACGTCACTTTCCAAACCATAAAAAGTTCATTCACGTCAAAAATACAAAATGTTAATGGCATTTTTTTGTTTGATGATATTCACGTAAGACTGCCACTCTATGTAAGACTGGTTATCTTTGTGTGTTTGGTCTTCTATTTAATAATATTCATTTATTATATTATTTAATAAGAGTTGCATGAATCTTATCTAAGTTACATTAAAAAGAATGGAGTAAATTAATAAATATACTATTAACATCGCTCGCAATGAACTTTGAGAAATTAAAAGAAGGTTATGAATGTCAAATCCACACCAAACTTGCAATGATTTTTGATTGTTTATGAAATGACACTTTTTGACCATAATTGATTAGTAAAGGGAAATCAGATACATTCATCCAATTCTCTCATGCCACATGATAACTCAAGCTTCAAAACTAAAAAAATAAAATAAAAATTAAGTTATCTAGTGAAAAAATAATAATATTTAGACACCTCATTTTTTTCAAACGTCTCATCAACTACTCTTATTACACTCTATGTATTCTTATCACTTATTAGACTTTTTTTTTCCTTTCCCTTATTAGATGTTAAATAGGATTTTTTTTATATTGTATATTTTAAATAGTTAAGTAACACGATATTTTATTTTATTTTATTATCTTTTTTACTTATCATATTGCATCATCAATCATGTTAATCATTTATTTCTTCTCTTTTTATCTCTCTCAAAGAATTACATTGAGGTGTTTAAATTTTTTTTTTGTTAAATAACATATTTGATTTCTAAAATTATTTAAAAAATATATTTCTAAAATTCAAAGAATTACATTGAGATATTTAAATATATCTCTTTTCATAGTCGTTTTGTCAATTTTTTTTTCATTGTCACTTTGCTAAAATTAATGACTTATTAATTTTATTTTTTATTTTTATCCTTGATAATTAATGTATATTTATTGAACAATGTGTCTATTTATTTTTTAATATATCTATTTCTTTTTTAACCACCTAAAGAATATAATAGAAAAATATATAATAAATACTTTAAACAACTAAAATATTAATTATTATCTTAATTTTTGTGCATTAAGTTTAAAGACAATTAAAAAAAATGGAGAAAGTACTTCATTTTTATGTATGTCACTCTAAAATTATGATGATTGCTTTACTTGGGAGATAATAACCACCCATTACAAGAGTTTGTTTATGGATTAACTAATTCATTCTAGAAGTAAGCGTGGAGTAAAGTGACAGTTGGTACTTTGGAGTTAAATTTTCTAGGCACTACCAATAAAGCTTGATAATTCATAAAGTTTCAACAACTTATTAAAGTACGTTGCACTTTTTTCATGAACAAATTATCATGACAAATGATTGAAATGCCAGTGGTGTGTGTGTTGTTCATTAAAAAAAATGTAGGAAATGGTATTAATTTCACAACATATTGGCCAATCCAAATTCTTCAAGTACCCAACTTTCAATGAGTTTCATACGTGTTGAAACCATATCATTTTTTGAAAGCTGCAAAATATCCACTTCCCAAATCAAAATATCTTCCCCAATCCAACGTCAATGGATTTGCACTTATTACCAATCACATTACGTTGCAGAACAATGTTGTGAAGCTTCTTCATTATACATTTTCAAGTTAGGACTAAAACTAAAAACATTTATAGATAGAGATTAATTTATTCCTGTTGTCAAAATTATCACCTACTCTCTAACTAATTTATAATTGATCGATTTCTGTTATTGGGAAATCAACAAAAAAATATATGAAATTGTAACTCTAAATAGGCGAAATCTCAACAAAAGACTATTGTTACTTGTTTAAGGAAAAAATTGCAACAAAACTCCTAAGGCAAGCAGACCAAAAACATATTTGACATCGAACAGGGTAAAATGAGGAATCTTTATCTGATTTTTGACTTCCAAAAAAAAAACCACACGTATTGACTAATACTATTTCGTCAGTCTATATAATTGTAATTTGTTTGTCAACCTTATATGTTCACACCACTATTATAAAAATAAGGCACCTTCCAAAATACCTATCCAAAAAAAGATAAACTAAATATCAACTACATTGGTGGTTGAACCCACCCCATTCACCTTACCCCTAAAACCTCCCTTGCTCAAATTTTCAAAGTCTAGCTTAAGTATGATCCAAAACAATGAATCCCCTCTAGATTGCCCCTTTGATCTACCTAACTCAAACCCTTAACCTCTCTACTATTTCCCTTACACCAAAATAAATCCAAATCTAAGTATTAATTCAGAACTTGCACACTCAAAGACTTCATGCTAAAACTTGTCCAAGTGCCACAAAAACCACAACCACCCAAATTTGGCCACGTCTATAAACTTCCGTTGAAGGGATACTCACTCTATAAGAGAGAGAGAAAAAAGGGGTTCAACCAATTAAGTAAACCAACCAATAAAATAAACCCTTTAACTCAAACTTAAAAGTGTGTCCATATTTATTATATAAAGGCCGCAATTACAAACCAAAGACTCTGCACTCTGAGACAGAGCCTTCACACAAAACATGGAGATGGAGTGGACTAGAGGCTTCATCATAGGGCGTGGCTCATCAGCCACCGTCTACACTGCCACCTCCTCCTACTCCTCCACTGTCGCCGCCGTCAAGTCGGCAGAGCTATCACCAGCAAACTCAGAACAACTTCAGAGAGAACAGAGGATCCTGTCTTCTCTGTTCTCTCCCCACATAGTTACCTACAAAGGGTGTAACATTACAAGAGAAAACAACAACCTATGGTTCAACCTCTTCATGGAGTACATGCCCTTTGGTACCCTCATGCAGGAAAGTCGCCGGCACGGTGGCCGGCTCACTGAGTCAGCAATCGTGCGGTACACACGACAGGTCCTGCAGGGGCTAGAGTACTTGCACGACAAAGGTGTTGTGCATTGCGATATCAAAGGTAGCAACATTTTGATTGGTAACGATGGGGCCAAGATTGGAGACTTTGGATGTGCCAAGTTTGCAAATGAGTCTCCGGTGGCGATCGGCGGCACACCGATGTTCATGGCACCAGAGGTGGCGCGTGGGGAGGAGCAGGGGTACCCTGCTGATGTGTGGGCACTTGGGTGCACTGTGGTTGAAATGGCCACTGGGTTTGCACCTTGGCCTAATGTGGAAGACCCTGTCACAGTGTTGTACCGTATTGCATATTCCGATGAGTTACCTAACATTCCTTGTTTTCTGTCTGAGGAAGCAAAGGATTTCTTGGGGAAGTGTTTTAAGAGGAATCCTAACGAGAGATGGAGTTGTAGTCAGCTTCTGAAGCATCCGTTTCTTGGGGAATTCAGTTCCAATGATAAGGAAATTCAGGAACCAAATTCATGTTCTCCAACAAGTATTCTTGAGCAGGGCTTTTGGAATTCTATGGAAGAGGCAGAGTCAGAGGTAGAGTGTGTATCTTGCCATTTGGTTCATAAAAATTTTGAGGATTCTCCAAATGGTAGGATCGAAAGGTTAGCTTTGTGTTCAGGGGATCCTCACATTTGGGAATCGGATGGTGAGAATTGGATCACAACTAGGGGCAGTGAAGTAGGGACATTAACTAGTAATGGATTGGATTTGGATGTTAATAATAGAATTAGTGGTTACTTTTGTGATGATCATAAATGTAGGGATGTAAGTGTTGTAGTTGACAGTCTCAATTTTGAGAGAGGCATTTCCAAGATGTTTCTCCCTTCAACATTGGATTTTTTATGATTCAATTATAAGTGAACTTTTTTCCCCACAGTGTTGCATTATATGCCAGCGTTTGCAGTTATTGTCCAATTTTCTTTCACGGCCAAAGACCTAACTCGATTTATGTTTTGTGGACACGTTTGGTTTAATTGTGGAAGCCTTTGCAAAATTGAACTTTCTTAATTTGGTGAAATTTCAATTGTAAAAAAATAAATAAATAAATAAAGCCAGAGAAATAGAACATGCAAGGCAAGGCAGGGCAGGTCCCAAGTTGTGTTGGTTGAAAGAGTTTTAATTCCCAATCTCTCTGATCTTTATTAGTTCTGGTTGAATGAGTGCAATGGAAACGAAACATTGGGAACCAGAGTTAGTGACTGTGCTCTCTTTCTCTCTATCTATTGGTGTTGGTGGCTATGCCAACTGTTTATCTGTCAATGGTGTTTGGTAGGTCCAGAAATAAAATTCCAAAACCCTCACAATTAGTTAGAGGGTTAAACTACCGATCAAATTCCACTCTCCTGTACCAAACCTATATAATATAACAGGTCATAGTTTTAAAAGCAAAACGAATATACTACAAATATTACGTTAGGTGGGTGTGTTAATGTCAAATCCAGTACATCATGATAAATACTAAATTACTAATGCATCAAATACTAATAACACACATGACAAGTTGAAATAGTTTGGAATCACGAAATTTGGTCAATGCCCTCTGCTAGGTTGATTTATCTTGTATGAATATTCAGAGCCCAGAGCCTAGTGCCTCAAATATAAATCATACTTTAATCTTTTATCGTTAGAGAATAGATACAGTAGTAGGTCCCTCCCTAAATTGTAAAATAACTTTGGTCAATTGGTTTCGTTCAAAATTCCAATTCATTAGTATATTACCAAAAAAAAGTTGCACTGCTGTCATAGCCCTATCCACAATTTCCCCTTAAGGGTTCTAATAACATTATTGTGATGCCCTCCTTCCTAAGCATTTATACTTCTTAGGCCTCAAGAGTTCAGAATTATGATTTTTCTGTGCCTCTTTTAAGCCCATCCGCACAAATCATCTCAAGCTTAATTATTTTTTGAACTCGCTTTAGCATTGGTTCTCAAATACTCCAATATGGTTAATTTGATATGGGTATGGGAATTATAGGTCTAGGTGCCCGGTATTGCTAGGTTCTTGAAAGGTTACGCAATATAAAAAGTATAAGAAAAGGGAACGACTTTGAACCACTAGTAGAAAGAGATGGGGAAGAATGAGGTAGAATACGATTTAAGTATTGTCGAACATTGTAGGTTTCTAGCCATAAAAAATACTAACCGTGTATGACAGTAAATAGTTTATTAAAGAAAAGAGTCTATGATTAAGTCTCGTGTATTATATATTTGCATAAAAAAATTAATATTGTGACGGAAATTACATTGAATTGGGTTGGCGTGTCTAGTTGATATGTTTGCATGTAAACAAAACAACTCGCCAAGATGAAGTCTAAGTTTGTTTCCAATTCGGCCCAGTTAGTGAGCTGACAGAAACTAGCATATTTTGGGTCCAAATATTCACCTCAATCAAATACAGTTGTCACTGAACCAATGAAACAACTAGATTATCTCTTATTCATAGGATCTCTACCATTATTTAAAGATAATATCCCTTTTGATAGTTCACTCAATTGCATCCATTAATTTGTTCGCACATCTAAGCATGAACGTTAACCCTTGTGTTCCAAGTTCACTGATTAAGGTGCATGCAACTACGAAAGAAACCTCAAATCCATCTTAAGCTGTGTAAGCTCATTCTTTCTAATGTGTTACTTTGTATAACTCATGTTTTCTGGTCCATGAATGACCCATCCCATCCCCAAAACAAAAAATAAAAGCACACCAATCAGAATTCAAGTTGTATGCTTTACTCAGATTAGCTGTTGTGAAAGAATATAGAGGAGAAAATCCATCTGACATTTATTTTTCACTTTTTTTTCTTGTACATAAGAGGATAACTTTATAAATCATATATTTGTATACACAATCAGTCTATTCATTATATAACACCAAACATTTGATAATATATTTTTTACACTATTATCCCAACCTATTATCTTATCCTCATCATAAGCTCCAAACATGGCCTTAATACTCGTATATATCTATATCAGGTGCTTTAAGTATAATAATCAACTCACTCAATCCGCATAACATCTCTCTCCTCTTATTACACGTACAGTATATCCAATTGTGACCTAGTTGTCTTATGCAAACAGGCACCACTCAGGCAGAAAAAGCTGAATAAAAGAAGAAAATTGCTTTGCATATTTGAACCTTCACGTGCTCTTTTTGTTAAGAGAATGGGAAGAGTTATGATCAATAGCCTGCAACTGACTCCGAAGATTCTGATTATCCGCCAAGAGACGATCATATTCCATAAGGAAACCCTCAGATTGCTTTCTAAGAGCCTCAACCTCAGCTTCCAAGGCCATAGCCTTGCTTGCTTTCACCTCACACTCGGATTCCAAATTCTTAATTTTGGGCTTCAACGTGGCGATTTCTTCCATCAATGCCTTTTGTTCCGCTGCACTGACACTTTTACCGTCCTCAAAACTTCGACTCTGTTTCTTAGCAGCCTCCATGGCCTTTCTCAATAACCGAAGCTCTCTGATGTAATGGTGCAATCTATCTATCATCAGAAACAGGAACAGCACAAACCCTGCCCACATGTGTCAAAAATCAAATTCCTCAACTATTATACAAGACAATGTATTACGAATGAAACAGAAATTACAGCCCAAAAAAAAAACACCCTTCACATCAAATAATTTGGCTCATATGACAAATATTTAATGTGCATTTGGATCAATTTATTTTAGATAAATAATTATATTTTCCTTATAAAAATTGAAGAACTTAACTAAAATAGTAAACTACATTGACAGAGTCATATAATCAAGGATCACCATGGTATATTTGTTGACTTTCATAAATTTTTGTAATAAATATTTTTAAAAAATTCAAAGATGATTTCTTATTAATTTACAAAGATAGTGCAAGATAATTAAACTAAAAAATGAATACATGCTAATGGTAGTTTGTTGATTGAATGAAACAATTTTTATTCTGAGTTTAGTTTTTATGCACGGTTAGTAGACTAAATTTTAGCGTTTAATCGATAAAAAAAAAAAAAAAAAACATTATTATTACGAATTCTAAAATAATTATTATAGTAAAAAAACTTATTATAAAAAATAGATTATTATTGTATGATATATGTGTAAAAACTCTTGACACTATCATATTTTTAATGTTTTCTAAAAATAGAAAGACAGAAAAAAGTCTATTTAGGTAAAAGGAATTTTGATTGTATTTTGTACTAAAAAGTAATAAATAAGCAAATAATCAGAAATTGTAAAATGACGAGGCTAGCCCTAGGGCTAGGGTAGGGTAGGGCAACACAGAAGGATGAATTAATTTTTCCGATGCAATTAAACTGCATTGCATAGATTTGATAGATTACCGAGAAGAGAAGCTTCGAGCATGTGCTTGGAGACGAGGACTTGGTCGGTGGGGTTAACGAGGGCACCTTCGAGGGCACGACGGTGGATCTTGGAAATGCTGTAGAGGGAGGAAGCCAGCAGCACGACCAAGGTGGCGCCGAGGGTCTTAACGACGAGGGGGCCGCGACCTCGCTTGAGGCGATCCAACGTGATGATGACCAGCTTTCTCACCGGAGTTTTGAAGAGGAAGCTGAGGATGACAAACATTTGGCCAAAAATGAGGGCGTAGAGAAGCTGCAACATTTTGGAACGAAAACCCTAGAATGGAGTGGCTGCTATTAAAGTGTGAGATTTGAGCGCGTGGCTTCAGTGTGTGACGGAGAGTCGACATAATGCCGGTAGAGGTGGGTATGGATCAGATGAAGAGGGTATACTCGTCAATTCACCATGCGTTTTTCCTTTTTTCCCTCCCTTTATTGCCTAACGGTCAACATGCAACTTCCTACCTGCCTCTGCCTCTTTCTCTTTCTTCACCCATTTACATTTGCTTCATAAATCATCCACTTTTATTTATTTATTTATTTATTATATATGCATCAATTTGTATCCATTATAAAATTAAGCATCGTTGAATTTTCAACTTAAATTAACGCCATTGAAACATAGATAAGCCAAAGTGAACATGAATATGATAACCAGCTTTTATTTTAAATAAAATAAAATAAAACGCCATAGTACTTTAACACTTTTCCCCAATATTCTGGTTAAATCTCATGTAAGAACTATTAATTTGAAAATAAAATTGACCACATATAAATACATTTTACCCAAACAAACAAATAATAACCGAAATTAACCTATAAAATAACAAAGCAGTATTTAATATAATATTACTATTTAAAATTTTCAAAAATATATAAAATTATACAAATCTCATCCATGGTTTGGTAAAAGTTCTTAAAACATTAACGACTAATTAAGAGCGTCACCTAATGTAATTAGGCAGAATTGAAGATTGTTGCAATTTAAAACGAGGACATCTAAATAAATTCACTCTTAGGCAGCAAGAACGAATCATTTACGAGTCTCAATAAGCTTATATTCATCAACATCTTTATATGGAATGAAGTTTTCTTCAAATTATATCCAAGAAACCATTCGACATCCAACGATTGAAATAGAAAACCCGAAGCGTCAAAATCCCACAAAATTCAACGGTGCAGTGCCGAGTTTGTAGTGCCAATATCCCGACTATTTGCGGTTAATGCATATACTGTTTGCCCCCAACATTAATCAGGGAATGCCACAATAAATAAACCATCAATTTAATCCTAAATCAAATTACCAAGCAGTGAAAATTCATCAATTTAGTCCCAAGGTTGTATATTTAACGAATGTTTGAATGGCTTACTAATATTTGAAACTACTTGACATGATTTCCTTATTCATCACAAAATACATTGCTCTCTCGTTCTCTCGCTATATATATATTTATAAAATAGTTCTGCAAAATGGATGACCGAAGGCATCCAGAAATTTTCTGGTCTAGACAACAACTTGCTTAGGTAACAAATAAAAATCTCAAGTCTGACTCAGTCAATTTCCCCAGAGCATCAGAAGAGCCACCTATAGTCCTGTTAAGTGAAAGGATTAAAAAGTCAATATAGCAATATGTGCAGCATTTTTCAAGTTTCAACCCTATTTATACATCACACTTACCCTTCAAACACTAATTCCTTCTTCTCTTGCAGCTTCAGAATTCTCTCCTCGATTGTGTTCTCAATGACAAACCTCACAATCCTGTGCATGAAAGTGTCAGACAATTAAGAAAAGACCAACCAGCAAGTTTTTACTCTTTTCCATTTTTTTTTTGTTCTAATTTGAAGGTGCTAGAGAACAAGAACCATAACCTTATAGGTTTATATTGCCCTATTCGGTGAATTCTGTCTTGAGCCTGACGCTCCACAGCAGGGTTCCACCAAGGGTCCATAAGGAAGACCTGATCAAGACCCAAAAACAATGCCACAAATATAAAAACCTTAACCTCTAATGAAAAGCTGTGCTCTAATGAACATTGGAGGACAATAACTCGTTAGGAAATAGAAAAACCTTAACCTCTTAAACATTCAGAGATGAAAATTACCAGCATATTTTTCAACGATTTAAAATATAAAACAGCATAATACTATGCGATTGACACAAATTTGATTGCTTACATGTGAAGCTACAGTCAAATTGAGTGCAACACCTCCAGCCTTCAAACTCATGAGAAAAATTTTGCAGTCTGGATCATCAGTGAATCTCCGAATGGCAGCATCCCGAGCAGCCAATGACATGCTTCCATTCAACTGAACACAAGATACTCCAGACTGCAACCAACACATTATATTATCATCCTGATGCCTTTTAGATGTGTAATCAAAAAGTTAACAATTTATTACCTTGTGTAAAGAGTAATTTATAAGATCCAAGAATGATGTGAATTGGCTAAAAACAATCCCTTTGGCAGAACCATCCCTTTCAACCATGATCCTTATTTCTTCTCTCTACACTCATTCAGGTAGAAGTCAAAAGCAAGTTAGTAAAAGGTAAGCATAGCACAAAAGATACTAAAGTAAAGAACAACTAATCATAGCATTATTTTTCTTTGCAGCAATGCTATAAACATTCTTTCAGCTTTCTATTTAGCCAAATGCCAATGTTTTCACAACCTTCCCTTTACTTCCCAAGCAACAACCAAATTTTCAATAACCATTTCCTTTCGATTGCACGATCATTCAGCAAATATGCTATATGAGAATTTTTAAGCTAAAACGCATTTTTACCAACAATTTTTTTCCTTCCAAAAATCCACTAAATTCATCAACATTTTTTAATATTTTGTTATCCAACAATTTGGCATGCCTGTATAATCTTCATCCATCATAATATTCCCATTATCATATCTAGAACTCAAGCTTTAGAAAACTAAAGGAAAAGCATTGACCAAAGAAACAAAAATCTAGAAGTACTCATTATTTAGGCCCAAAAAAGAAAATTTATCATGCAACTACTTTGTGATACCTACCAAAGCCTCTATTTTAGTACTTGTCTGAAAGTTCTCAAGTCGAATTCTATTCAAAATGCTTGAGGATCTGAATCCCTTAATTGTTGTTTTGTAAGCCTGATCCCCAACATCCTTGTTGGACGTTAAATCAACAGTAAGTAATTTAGAGCACGTAGGGCATGATGCTTGCCCCAAGGAAGCAGAGAAGTCTATCAAGCATGCCTTGCAAAATACATGCTCACAAGAGGTAACCTGAAACAATAATGAGAAGTAAATTTGATTAAGGAGAAACTTATAACTAGGTAGAATAAGGAGAAAATGAAATGAAAAACTTATAATTAGGTAGATTAAGGAGAAAATGAAATGAAACAATGAAAATAGAAAACATGTGAAAATTTAAAAAAAAAAAAAAAAGAAACTTACTACAACATCTTCTACTGGCTCATGGCAAATGCCGCAAACCTGTTCAACAGTAGCATTACTTTCCATAACTCCATTTCTTGATGCTGCACTTTGAGAATATACCACAAGGTATGGATGATCAACGGCCTGTACATTTTTGCAAGAGTAAAATACAAATCTGCAATGTTTTAGCAAATAAGGGAAACTTCCAAATTCTTACTTCAAGACAAGGTTTGAATTATACCCCATTAAATAAAATTAAAGTCTATCACTATTCCACAACTATACCATCCAGATTATTTAGCTTATCACTATGACATGCAAAAAAAATACTAACAGCGGATAAAAGTGTTTTTATAAGAATTTAACACTGACTGCTTTTGAAATGAATAGGAATTTGAAAAATGATTAGAGATAAGGTCAAGGTTAAAATATTAGGACTTAAGAACTTCAAATTCCATGTATGTATGACCACATATTTCAACACATCCATGATCGTAAAGAAGATCTTCAACATTTATTCAAACTTGAAAGAGAAAAGATGCATTGCAGAGGGAAAAGGCAGAACAAAAAGTTTATTTACAACAGAAAAATTATCCACCTGTCGCAGACGGGTGAGGAGGTCAAATATATGGGCATAATTATTCATCAGAGTATTTGCTTCAACATATCTGTAAATAAGGAAACATATCAATGAAACCAAGCAAGGTATGATAAACCATGCTAAAAAAAAATCTTAGCACACTGTGGCCTAAGAGGTTTCTTTTATCTCATCAAACCACCCTTGTTGACAAAAAAGTATGGCTACATGTTAGTTTTACTTTCATGGTAATTCCATGAATAAAATTATTAACTCCTGCCCATTTACCTATCAATAGCTTTTGTCTATGAAGAAGAATATGCTCTATATTGTTTTCTTTGTAAGAAAAAATAATGTGACATACGTATTAAATTGTGCCTGACTTTCATTATATAACGATTCATAATAGTCTTGCTCTTTAATATCCAGACAGTCCTTTCTCAATGAAACCTGCAAGAAGAAATGTAAATAACATAAGCAAACACTCTTTCAATATTTGAAATTGGAGACAGGCCACAAAGGAAATAACTTACAATTCTAGGCGGAAGCGCAAGATCAGCAGCCCTCCCAATTTTAGTGCGCCTTAATACTATGTTCTTCAAAACTTTATGTTTAAGCAATATCATAGCTCTTCTACCAGAATCACCATTTCCAAAAGATTGAATTGGTGTGGCAACATACTAATCAAGATTAAAAAAATAGTAAAAATTGTGTAACCATATCATCTGAAACACTTTCCACAAAATTTCAGTTTGCAGAGTTGATTTTTCTTTGTATGTCCCTTTAACATGCTGAACACAAAACAGGACTAAGAGACTACAGAACTTACCTTATTCCACCAACAGAAATGCCTCACAGAACTGTGAATGCAGCCTGAACATTCTTTAGAGCTGTAGAAAGGCATCAGCATTATAAACACATAATTAACAATTCTAAGAACACGTCATTTTGAAAATGTATAACAGTATGAGCATGTATGTTATTGCACTGATCACTCCTACACTATATAATAGAGCAACTAACCACTAATTTATCAAGAGAAATTAAAAAGAAATGAGCATATCAAAAACTACACCTTACCTTCCCCCTATAAAGACAAACAACACATTAACATGATGAGAACATTTGAAATCAGTCAACAGAAGAATCCAATGTTATGGAAATCACAAAACCGCTTCAGTGTAAATACATATTCTCCTCAAGAAAATAGCAATTGCTCAATTTCACATTAGAGGCAATCACTAGAGAATAAGCTCTGCATGAATTCGTTGAAACAGTTTACTAATTGACATGAAATAACATGACAAAAGAAGTTGAAATTATGTAATTCCAGAGCAAGTCAAGATGGGTAACATAATGAAAAAAATTAATGACAGAGCCCTGGGTGATAAGTTTAAACATCAACTATCAAGTCCATATGCATGACTAGTTCAAGCTAAAAATTCACACAGCATATTGATATAATGAATTATTATACCTATGATCAAGAATCTTGCAATCACAGTCCTTGCACAAGTAATAGGAATAAGGAATTATTTGCAGGAACCGTATCTGCATACAAGAAGTAGCAATAAAAGTATTTTAAAAGACAAACTGATAAATTAAAAATTTACAGGAAAAAATAACCTAAAGAAAAAAAAAACTGCAAACTTACCAGAGAATACAGCTCTCCAACTCGGTTCTGAAGGGGAGTGCCACTTAACGCCCATTTGTAGGTAGACTCTAAAGCAAGAACTGCTTTAGCGGTGTTACAATGCCTAGATTTTATATAGTGCGCCTAAAATTTCATATATAAAGAAAAATTGGTCAATAAAGAAGAAGAGTTGAGCCTGACCAAATTTAAATTTCAATAAATTACACATGTACAATCATTAAGCCATAATTCAATACCTGGAATAAAATAATAACAAGACATGAAAAAAATAAGTCAAAAGACCTAGTTTGAGAAATAATTCATCCTTTTGTTTATTTATCTTGATTAACAAAGAAAACTCATGTTTATTCAAATACGGAAAGTAGCACTGATAAAAACAATTGAAAGACATAAAATGCTTCTTTTACTTGCTTATTCAGAAATTAAATTCATAAAAAGTTCAAGTATACATGTAGCAAAAGTTCCCACCATAGTCTATTATCACCACTGACCTCATCCAATATAATTCGCTGCCATTTTACAGCATGCAGAAGTGACTTATCTGCACGTACAGGGACAGCCTCTGTATCCTCCATAATCATGTCCGTTTCTTCTTCCTTTTTCTTTTTAGAACCCTTTGACATCTTGTTACCGTCACATACCTTGGTCTTCCCTTTAGTAACTAAACTACACTTTTTCTTAGCTTGCTTTGATTGTTTTTCTGTTCTAATAGCATCAGGTCCACAAAAATAGTTTTGATGATATCTCAACTTACTTGGCAAAAATAATTTTCCACAATATGGGCACCTCTCTTTAGGAGGCATCATATGCTTCCTGTACTCATTCTCAACGACAGAGTATGTAGTGATCACAAAATCATAATCTGCAAACCGATCCCCACTCTTCCATCTATTAGCCCCATGATAAATTAGCACCTTGGTGCTCCCTTTTAAAGTAAAGCGATCAATCTCACTAACCCACTGAGTGACAGCAACCACAGGACATATGACAAGTGTTCCTTTGATCACAGGTAACAATCTGGATGAACTTGGTATGGATTGATCTGGTTCAGAACTCCTTTCTTCAAATTCACGTTTGGCTAGGACAAGGGCAATTGCTTGAATAGTTTTCCCCATTCCCATTTCATCTGCAAGTATTCCGCCTCTACTCTCAGAACTTTCCTGTTTCAAAGCCCAGGCTAACCATTCCTTTTGGTATCTAAGTAAAGGCATAGTCAGATCAGAGGGCGCCTCAGCAGTTTCATTCATTACTTCACCATGATTATCTAAGTCAGCATCTTCTGATATATTCTTATCAATCCATCTTTCTTGTTCCTCTTCCCACGCATTCCACAACAACACTGGCCGAGAATCTCCTTTTTTGCCTCTTCTTGTATATTTCCTCTTCTTAGTTTCCCTCGAAGCAGAGGGAACTGATCGCTGCTGAACCATAGAGTATTCATCATCATCACCATCTTTGTGTTCCACCACTTCAACCACATCACTTGGTTCTCCAATTTCTGGGTTGGGACCTGTTCTTCTCCGTTTGCACCCCCACACATTCTCCCTTTTGGACAAAGGCTTGCCACCATCAGACGAATCAGAAGCATAATCTTCTAAATCATAAACACTAATGCTTGAATATGGTTCTTCATTCAAGTCAGGTAGAACGACCACTTCAACCACATCACTTGGTTCTCCAATTTCTGGGTTGGGACCTGTTCTTCTCCGTTTGCACCCCCACACATTCTCCCTTTTGGACAAAGGCTTGCCACCATCAGACGAATCAGAAGCATAATCTTCTAAATCATAAACACTAATGCTTGAATATGGTTCTTCATTCAAGTCAGGTAGAACGCACCCACCCAATTCTTCATCTGTGAGGAAATTTATTTAATTTTCAGACACATTGCCGGGACAAAATTCATAGATAAAATCAGCAGTACAATTAAATCTCCAAGTTCTTCCAAAGATGAGAGCAAAGATGATCAATGAGTAATTTTACTCTACTTTCTTCTCACTTGTAGTCCAATAACAATGATTAAACTAAAATCATACATAGCGACACACTAGCTCTTAATTTCTCATCAAGTTAAGTATTCAAATATTTCATGAACACCCATTTTCTTCAATATACAGGAATCAAGAAGCATAAATCCAAAATCTTGCAGCCAAGCCACATTCAACATCATAAAATGAAGATATTCAGAGTTTAAGACCAGAGAGTCCAACAATTTACCTTCGAAGTCAGAACCTGAATCAGGATCAGAAACTATATCCGAATCTGAAGATACAACAGAAACACCTTTATCTTTATTGTTACCGCACCCGCCATTAGTTTCATCTTTCACAACAGCATCATCCTCAGGCTGCTCCTCCTTCCCTGCTTTCCAATTCACACATGAAAATGTTAACACCTTGTTTGGTAAAAAAAAAAAAAAAAAAGAATCGAAACGTGACCAATAAACCACAACAGTCTGTTGCTTTTACAACACACTAAACCGTTAACACATGGCCTCACTCTTCTTGTTTTCAAAACTTTAACCGCTCAAAAACTCGAAATCGCATTTCGCGTAAACACAAAAATAAAAACTGCAAAGCCGAAACAGTTTCAAGTAACAAACAAGAAAATGACATAAAACAAAATAAAATCGGTCATGAAAAGGCCTGCATCCAAAGCAGAAAGTAAAGAAAATAAAGCATAAAGTTCCGAAACCGTGAAAAAGGAAGTAAAAGAGAAAATCGGAAAGATTAAGACTACCAGAAACTGTAGTATTGGAAAGGCGCCGACGAGAACGAAGCTCCATGGACGCACGTTAACTTAGGTTAGGGTTTCGGATCGAAGCGCGGTTTCAAAGAATCGAGAAAACAGTGTTGTCGCTCACTCTCTTTCTTTCTCTCTCTGTGAAGAAGAAAATGGATTGTGATTTGTGATACGGTTGGGTTTTGTGACTGAAACGGCGGGAATTAAAGCCCTTTTGCACACAGTAGTGAAGCGCCACGCACAAAGTTCAACGTCAGCGGCTGTAATCCTCTGTGCTACTCATCATAACAAGAACCAATGGATACCCACGTTGCCAATTGGGATGAAACAAAGTATATATAATCAACGGTCTACATGTCTCAGCTTATTGTGATGTACATGTACCTTGATATCAACGATGGGGTTGCTCTCGTAACTTTTCTATCGTGACGCGCCGTTTTGGGTACATTAGCGTTTTTTTCTCCACACCAACTCTTTCCTGATTGAAATTTGAATACCGGCATTCAAATAGCGTGACTTGTCCTGTATTCAGTAATCACTGTATTTTACTATTTTCTTCTTTCTCTCCATAGTAAAGTGCTATGCAAGTTTCACTTTTAAAATTAATTCACTAGAAAAAAAATAATTAATATGGAGACAGGATTTCCGAAAAATAAATAATAGTAATAATTATTTTTAAAATTGTAGCAAAGTGAATTAGTAATAAAAAATTAAAGTAATATACAAAAAATCATGTATTTAGACATTATTGTCATCATAATTTTTACTAATAAAAAAAATTAATCAAGTGAAATTCTTTTTTATTTTTATAAAAATTACTTATCATAAAGTTAATATCCCAAACTTGTGGTTATCCTAAACACGGACCGCTAAGACCTCATTGTTGAAAGGGGATAAAAAAATTATATTTAGTCTATATATAATATAAAAAAATTATATAATTAAATTATTTGTGAAAATTTTATCAAAAGAATAAAATTATTTATGAACAATTAATTAATAATTATTTTTCCTAATTATCAATAAAAATCTATTTATAATTTTAAGAAAATAAACAAGTAAAATTATATATAAAGAAGAAAATATAATATTTTTTTTTCTCTCAATGACAACTTTCATTAATGTTAATGTAAAATTATAAATAAAATTTTACTTAACTTTCTCTTTTCTCCAATTATCTTTATTTTCTTTAATTATTTTTCTATTTTTTTAATAACAACTTATTTATTTTGCTAAAATTTCAAAATCTAATAGTGAACATCCACCTTCCTACAATCAACTTGTTTGTGTTGTATTATTATTATTGATGAATTTTTTTTAATGTGTAGTGACTTTAAGATAACTTATAGTTTAGTATAAATGTACTATATATTTAATCATTTTGTTTAACAACTACATTTTTAATTATTCGAATGTTTTATGATTTTGGATTTTGAAACTAAAATCATAAATAGTAGTCAAATAATTATAAATAAAAAAAACATATTTTTCCACCTTGATCAAGAAAAAAAAATTCGAGTTCAATCCACGCCAAAAATAATCTTTTATTATACTAAATTGATTAAACAAAATTTTAAAATTAGTTTGTTTTATCTAAGACTTAAATAAGAATATCACTGATTTTAAAATTAGTTTGTTTTATAATATTTTGAGCATTTATTTATATTAATAAAAAATTTATATTGATGAAATTAAATTTGATCTTTTTAAATAATGTTTTGTATTGAAGTTTTATAAATAAAAAATAATAATTAAAAGAAAAATCAACTAAAATCAGCGAATATTTTATACCAATAATATAATTACTCAAAAATATTATTATTTTAATAATTTAATCTAAAAAATAGTAGGAATGAAATAGGTATTAAATATTTAAATGAAGAAAATATATTACATTTGTCCATCTTTATTGAAAAACCAATTAATAAATAATTTCATAAAAAATAGTTTTATTATTTCAACATAAACGTTTATTGAAAATTAATATTAAATTTTTTTATATTAATTTTTAATTTCAGTAAAAGAATAAATTATTATTTTGTGAATATAATAATTCATTGATTTTTCAAAAAAATAACAAAATTCTCCTTTGACTATATCTCCATTTAAAGTACCTTGAAAAATATTTAATGACAGTATAAGTTAACAGAAAAATGCAAAACATTTATGATAATAAAAAAAACTCCCACTGGAGCTATTTATAAGTAATTAGAGGGGTCAAGAGTCCATGTATCCAACACTTATATAGATAAAATATTAGATGATTGTGATTAATTATTTATAAAGGATGCGGTAAGTTATTTTTTTAATATATAAAAGGTATAATGGTCCATTAAAATATGAAGGCAAAAAATAAATACATATCCTTATGTCCCCTTTATAATAGGTAAATAGATAAAAAAAATGTTTAGATTTTTGGGACTAAAATATAAATAAATATCAATGAAATCAATGATATTTAATGCTCTAATTAAATAAAAAATATTCCTAATACAATAAATGGAGGTACTATCTATTATGTGTGTAGTTAGTTAAAGATATTTTAATAATTTTATTGTATATTTTATGTGAAATAGTAAAAATTAAATATATTTAATTAACTTTGTTAATGTGTATGAAATTATTCTTTTTTGTTTATATATAGGTCAAAAGGGAGTATTATGATAGTCAAATTTTTATGGTATCCCTCAAATTAGAGGTCTAAGTAGTTGTTCTTCACAAAATTTCGCTCATCTTTTTATTAGTCAACATGATCGATCACAACCATGTAGGAGTAGCTTTTCCAAGATATCCCACCACTTTTAGGTTTAATGAATCACTTAACAAATTAATATAAGACTTTTGAACGTGTTTTATTTTCACTTACATACTTTTCAAAAAACTTACAAAAAGATCACTTTGTTTCTAAATTGTTTCAAGTCAAAGACATTTAATTATGAGATATTTAAGTTATAAACTATATAAAAAAAATATATGCATCTTGTTAGTATATATAGTACTAATTAATTATTTTAAATCATCTTTAATTATCTATGAAACCTATATTGATCCCCATATCTTGATAGTAAAATAATAGTAATAATAAATATTACACTTTACATGAAAAGTTAAAAATAAATTTAATAGAAAAAGTTGAAATAAATATTATAATTTTAAGTAAATTAGTAAAATTGTTATAATAGTATAAATAGTGATAATAAAATATTTTTTTGGGTGATCATTGTTAAACAAAGTATCTATTATTAAAATCAATGACTATTTTTTTTAAGGATTGTTATTATATATAAAATGAATATTTTTTTTAATATAATTTATTTCATATATAAGGTTAGAATTTAAATCCTAGATAATTTGATTAGGGAACACAAGTCACTATAACTTATGTGAATTAATGTTAATATAAAATAAATGAAAGTATATAATAATCATAACAATATAATATATATAAAATGATAATAAAATAAATTGTAGTATATAATAATGACAATAAAATTTTCCTTTGATTATGTCTCTATTTAAAGTACTTTTAATTTTTCTCTTTAAGTAAGTTATCACAATTATTATTAACTAATGGAAAAAAATACTTCATGAATCGATTAAGAAAAAGATAGAATTACAAATCACTTTCAGTAGTTTAAACGATTATTAAAGATTATGTGGAGTTACTAGAGGTAAAATGATAAAAAGATAGAAGTGAACATCAAATGAAATTAGGGATGACAAAAATACCCGTACTTGTGGGTATCTGCGGATAAAATCCGCTGCGGATAAAATCCGCTACGGATAATAAATGGATAGACTAATTGGGTACCCGCGGATAATGGGGACGGATAATTTTTTACCCGTTTATAAATGGGGCGGGGCGGGTATGATGATATCCATACCCGCGGGTACTAGTTTAATAATATTTTTTAAATATCATAATTATCCTTGTATCACATAACCCTAAAACTACACTCTCTCATCTTATTTTCTTACAAAAGTGAGGTTGATGAATAAGTTACCAACATATGTTAAACATATTATAGAATTATGTTGGATGTAATTTGATTAATTTTCTAACTTTAATTGAACCAATAAGATTTATGTATTTTAAGTTGTTTACTTTCGTTTGTAATTATGAGATTGAATTATTGTAACTTTGTTATGAGACTTTAACTTACTTATGAGATTGATGTATTTTAAGTTATTGATTATCTTGCATTTTTATTATTATTTCAATAAAATTAACGTTAAATACAAGTTCAAAATTAATATTAAATTTTTATTTTTAATATTTTAATGACATTAAATATAAACTTAAAATTATTTGTAATATAATTTTTTTAATTTCTTAAAAAATTTATAAATATCCATGGATATCCGTGGGTATTCAAGAAATTCATGCATACCCGCTTAATGGATACCCGCGCGGATATGGGGTGGATATGAGACCAATTTTCATATAGTGGGGCGGGGGCAAATTTACTATTACCCGTCTCCACGGGGCCTCATTGTCATCCCTAAATGAAATCATCACCTTTATTATTAGTATAAATATCATTTTTACATTTTAAATATTAACCTTTTTTATTTAACATAATATTATTTTTGTAATTAAAAATAATAATTTTATTAAACCAATATAAGGGTGTGTTTTGAAGAATCGTTAAAATTACATTATTTCAATGATCAATTATTTTTGCAGTCAATTATAACCTAAATCAATTTTTGTTTGAGTAAATATGATGAAAAACAGTTTTAAGATATTTAATTTCGTTTGTGTACAATAAAAAAAAATAGCTTTTATATAATAAATTAATTTCAAATAAAGAAAACTGTTAAAAAATAATCATAAGTTTCAAACTTTCATATTTATAAAATAACTTATTATTTAGGGAAAAAATTATTTATAAAATTAAGTTGATGTTCTAAATAATTAGTTTATATAAAAAATCGTTAACCGATCCAATGATTCTGCAATTATACTTTCTAACTAAGAAAAATTGTTAAAAAAATTTGCTCACAAGATAATCATATTTTATATATAGGAGTTGATAGTTTAAATTGAATGTAATTTTTTTAATTTGATATGAGCTTAACGTGCAAAAATACATTAAACAACCTAAAAATAAAGTTTTCACCTTTTGCCGAATTTAGATTTAATTATTTTATCCATAATTTTTTTTAATAATAATAACAAAATTTGAGCCATATTACTCTAATCCTCCATCACTAAGCCCATCACAATGATTTAAAATTTTAGTATAAACTAGTTGTAACTTTCTTTTATTTAATAATAAAGACATATAATTTCTTCCCATAACCTATATATATTGTTCCAATTTTCAAAATATATTTTATCATTGGAGCACTCAACTCTCTGTCTCTTTCTGTGTGTGTGTGTGCAGTAGTCTTAAGGAAAGGAAAAAACACCAAATGACACTTATCGGTTGACCTTTGAGGTTGATGTTTTACTTGGTTGGTTGCCTAGGTTTTGGATCCCATGGTCAATAAGAGACTTATGAGAGCACCCACCCCCTCAATCTCGAGCCTAAAAAACAAAGAGACTAAAATATGAACAATTTACTCAATTTGTGGATATCATTATTGATTTGATACTAGTTAATGCTTGAATATAGGTTGGAAAAAAACAACACGAAAAATATTGAGGGATGGACATGTGTTGGTTTGAACCCTATGAGGGTAATCGATCAAGGACAAACCTATGAGTTTACAAAAATATAAATGTAAATTTTTGAATTCGACATGAACTTAAAAAAAAATTCAACTCAAACAACTTAAGAAATTGGAGATTTTACCCAATTTAAATTTTATTTTAGAAACTCAAATTAAATTTAAATCTTTTAACTTAATATTTTTTTGTACATATGAGAGAAAGGAAAAAGAAAAAAAGAAAAAAAAAACCTAAACTACCTTCATTGATAATTAACTCTCAACGAACCACTTAGAAACAAATGCTCAATATACATTGGTAATACTTGCATGATTACTAGGTCCCATATTTTAAATCTATAATATAATATAAATATTTTTTATTTATCAATAATTTTTTAATAACATTAAGATTCAACTTAAAATTAAATATAAAAAATAAATTTTAAAATAAGTAAAAAGTTGTGAAGATTCTGTGAACAAATTTTGATTTTGATTCCTATAATTTTTTTTTTATTTCTCTAAAACCTAAAGTTACTATTTTAATTCTTAATGTTCATAGATGAATAATATTTATTTTAAATATTTATAAAAAAAATTTAAAAGTATCGCATGTAACATAATATCAAATGCAATTATAGGTATATTATTACTAGAAAATTTATTTTTAGATAACTATAGTATTAATACGAAATATTTATCCCAAGAAATGACTAATATTCATGGAGACATAAACGTACAAAAGATGAATATTCTTCTACCAACATAATCTATTCCATACTCAAGATTAGGGTTAGAATATTAGACAATTAGTTAAGAGATACTAATAGTTATCACTTGTATCATTATGTGTTGGTAGGGTATTATTAAAGATGATCACTTAACTATATAATAAACACAACCGTTAAAAAGGATTACATAATATTAGGAACTAAAAATAACAATTTTAATTTTAGATGGATAAAAAATAAAAAAATAAATTTGAGAGACCAAAATCAAAACAAAATAAAAATAAGCTCGTTATAAGATATTAAAAACATACTTAAATTTTATTTCCAAGACATAAATTCATATTATTTTAAATTGGTAATATATAATCTTAATAATTTTGAATGTTTTTTCTTTTACTTACATTAAGATTCTATTCAAATCAAAAGTGTATAATTTTTTTAGAAACTTCAAACATAACTTTTTCTTATTAAATATTTTATCTGAATTCAATTTTAAAAGAGCTGCATAATGGACATATCCTGATGTTATACAGTAAAAAGGCATTAGCTAGAATTATAACAATAATATTACACATGCAAAACATAAATGTATTAACGAGTAATAACAAGAGTAAAAGAAATCCATCAACAATATTTTAACATCGTTGTTTCATTTTGCCTTGCGACAAATTCAAAGTGGTTGCTTTGAATGGTAAAACAATAAAACACATTACTCATACCTATAAGTACATATTCTATACTATTATAACGTGCAAATGAAATTGGCTCCAGTTAAGCCATGCATGGAAATGAATGACTCTTGTTGAGCAAAAAACTCATTCTTGGTGGCTTTATGAAAATCAAGTTCAATGGCCTATGGCTTGGCCACACAACAAAGCATTACTTGGTATTGGGTACTCATCTCTCCATGAATTGGCAGGGGAATAAACACGAAGATAAAATTGTTGCCCTAAATACTGACGAGCCCAGTATTCTGATCTCACATTCCACATTCCCACATTGTCCAAAGGCATGTACACTGCAGTCCATGACTTGGGATACACCTGTGTAGGTTTAGTATACATCAAAACACAAGACAATGCATATGATTTTTTTTAATGATAAATATTACATTCAGTACCATAGATGTTATCTAGTACCGGTGTTGTTTCCCAATCAAAATAGAGTTTTACTTCGATAATATATGTGATAAATGATTCTATTAGATGTTAACATGTATTACAGGGATAAAATTCTAATTAGGATAGAAGAACAACACTAAGAATATTATTACGTACTTTGTATAAGTTGTCTATTTTTTATGTCTCAATTTCACTACATGGCAAACTTAAGTTCCTACACCAAAACAATTTATCAACATGGGTACCTGAACTGTGCAACGAGATATTGTGTCTCTCAAATTATAATTTGACCTGCTTGCAACTGACCATTGGCCTCCATCCATTCTGCATATATTACATATCATAAAAATGTTACATTATTATATAGGGGAAAATAAGGTGACAAAACTCTTCATTAGCATCACACATGCTAATATAACATTTTACTGTGAAGAGAAAATCAATGAATTCTATATTTACCTATGGAGTTAGGGGAGCTTACCCAACAACATAGAAATTGTGGCCATCAATGTGCCATGATTGCAGATTGTCTTCAGGGTTCTCAAACACAATCTCAGCGTAGCCTCGGAAATCGGCAGCCACGACAGAAGTCTGGAGGTAACCGCCACTGCCAGTAGGGTTGTCCGGGATACTTCCGAGGCTGAACACTCCTGGGATCTTGAAGTAATCAGCCAGTTTAAGTGGCGTATCAGTAGGGATGAAGGAAACACTATTGACAGCATATCTCTGCTTGCCATTGATAATTGGTGCAGAATTTTGAAGTCTAATTGTTCGGGTTGTGTTTATCAAACCATAATGGTAGGATCCTTGTGGATTAGGCCTCGGTCCACTTGCTGTCAGATTCCGCCTGGTTTAATTTATTACATGTTATAGTAAGTATGAGAGATTAGAAGTTTGTTAAATACAGTGACAGTGTAGATGTTTCTTAAACTGATATTCAATCCTAAATTGCCATGTAATATTGTTGACTTTTATGATCTGTATGATGTAATTGTCACCGGTTGACCATGTAAAATTCTTTACAGTTAATTCATAACAAATAAATTATGCAACACAACCACATTATCTTGTTGTCTTGATATAATGTTCCCCATGGAATTAGATAATTTAGATTTCAAATACAATATCAATGTGATTTGGTGGTGAAGCTAGAGAGAGTTCACAGAGAAGGTTAAAATGTGTATGAAGGAATTTTATGTGAAATGAATAGAAGTAATAATACCTGAGAGAGCGAGCTTGTTCAAGAGACCAATCAATTTGAGTAGTTGGTCCTCCTGGGGGAGGACCAGAAACACTTGTAGCTGAGTTACTGTAATGAAGAATGGAGGTAGCAGTCAACACTTGGGAGGTGAATCGTGTTGAGACCACAATGTAGTAGTCTTGGGGGGGTTGATCAGCAGTTACCAACACAGAGTAACTCTGCCCCAAATGAATGTCAAGGGAATCATATGTGTTTTGGAGAGTATGGATTCCTTCCACCTCAACTAGCAGCATCTTATGCCCTTGGACTCTGAAATTGATGGAAGTTGTGAGCCCAACGTTTGATATCCGGAATCTGTAAGTCTTGCCTGCCAAACAAGCAAGTGCATTGTGATTGACCTTTCCCATTATAGCTTCAGCTTTCAAGTAAACAAAATGCTTGTAGTTGTTGTAGTATACCTTGATCAACCGTGAATGTGTAAGCATTGGAACCACGACCATTGATGATAAGGCCATCAGGGAAAGGAAGGTCACTTCCGCTGTCTAGAATGGCTCTCAGATCCTGCAAGAATCAATACAAATATACTTACTAAATAACATGAGGTTTTGTTACAAATGCAAATGATTCACGAGGGTTGGCCTAGAGACTAGAGCTAAGGATTCCAGATAGTTTACATGAAGTCTTCTTAGGTTCAAATCTTGTTATCACCATTTTGCACAAAAACAGTAGTAACCTTGTTACAACTTACAAAACAAGCCAAAAAAAAAAAAAGAAATTATGCAAAGCAAGGTACTCACAGTGTGGTTTCTGTTGTACCAGTCTCCAGCCAATATGGTGAAATCTGCTGCTGGAGGAGGAAAAGGTACAGGAATCACAGAGCGGCTAGCAATTTTGAATCCACCATAACCCCCTGCCGCCTTGTGGAATGCAAGGGAAGGAAAGTAGAAGTAGCTACCAATCTGATCCTTCACTTGAAGAACATAAGTGAAGTTCTTCCCTGGTGGGATAGGACAGTTAGTACCATACACTCCATCCTGCCATGAATTCCTCCTCTGCTGCACCCCATTCCTGTAAACAATGACATTATCTCAATGTTGGTTTAACATTAAATTCAGGGCTCACTACTAATAGTAATAGATTTTATATGCAAATTGTATGATACAAGATCAGATCATATTCATCATTTTTATATTTCAATCAGGTACAAGATTGCTTCTGATGTTTCTAAGAATTATTTAATCACAACAGAATCTAACATTGTAAATCAGAAATATCAAATATGCCTGTCTAGATTCGCCACCCTGGTTCACATGATCACATCAATCATGACACTGTTTCTGCATTGTCCTTGTCAAACCGTCATGAAGGTACATTAACCATACAAATGTCTCATAAAGTAACCAATAAATATAGAAGAAGGATTTGTTTATTTTAAAAATAAGTCTATTAAAGTTTATTTTGTTTAATAGCTCATATTTTACATCAAATTTTAACGATCCAACCGTTGAATTTAAAGTTTTTAATGCATAAATAAATTAATAAATTTTTTAACAAAATTTAAAGACCATTTGATACTTCATTTCATTGATTCAAATCAACATATGAAATAATTTTATGATTATTTGTCAATTTGAATTAATGAAACGAAGTATATTTTCAATTTTTTTAAAATTTCAGACTTAATTTATGTATTAAGATAAACTTACTCCCACAAAATAAACAAATCCCTTTTCATATATATATATATATATATAGAGAGAGAGAGAGTTATAATAACACTGGTATAATTTTTACTAAGTATTACAAAAGTTTATAAAACACACATATACTTATTAGTTAGAGGCCTTTTAAGTGATGACCTAAAACAAAATTGTGAAGAGTTTAATCTTAAAGGGAACAATATCTATACTAATGTGGAGATGTGTGTGAAAATACTCAACAAACAATAAATAAGATATAACATTTTGAGTAATAATCAAAAGTAAAATTATGAGGATTTAAGTATAAAGTATATAATATTTTATCACAATAAAAATAACAAGATATAACTTTCCTTTTGATAAATATATCCCCATCAAACAAATTGACAATGTTAAATGATATTGGTGCAACTTTTATCAATGTTTCACCACTCAATAACTTTCAATTAAATGTCAATTTTTCAAAATTTATCATTAAATTTAAAGTTTTTTACTTTTAAATCATATATACAAAATTTTATATTAATTTAAGACGATTTAATTTTTTATTCTTATACAACAAAATTAATATAATATATTTATTTTAAAATATATTAAAATATGAATATTTTGATTATTTTAAAATTATTATTTAATTTTAACAAAATTTGATATAAATATATAATATAATATGAAATTATAATTCAAAGGTTAGATTAACAAAAGTTATATTTAATTAAAAATTATTAAATAATGTAAAGAAAAACATAATATTTAAACAATTAAACTAAAATTGAAATTATCTCTTGACTAAGTTTGTGGCCAAAAACAATATTTAAAAACATAATATATATATATATATATATATCAGTAAGTGAGAATTTTCTCACACAGGTAGAGAGATGTCAAGTATGAAGATGAAGTTTACAATAATATTTTGACCATGCTTGATGTGAAATCTCATATACCACTAATATTCTATAGAACTAAAGAAGAAAGTCATCTAGCTGAGAGAAAAAACTAACCAAGATATAAGGAAAGGTTGATCCAAGCTATTGAAAACATTAATGATCAAGTTATCATTGGTGACGGATTCAATCTGAGGTCCTGGGAACTGCCCGTTTATCAATATTCCCTGTCATTTCACTCACCAAATTTTCATTAATCATTGCATTCATTTAGAAAACAAAGTTAAAGGAAGAACAAGGACAAATCATTAGAAGAATACACAGAGACAGAGGAAAAGAAAAGAAAGCACCTGTTGTTTAATCCCAAGAGGGTAGATGTCTCCATAGGAGACATTCCAAGTGTAGAACCTATAAGGGTCCTCCCCACTTGCGCATGTCACCAATAGCAATGCTAACAATAGAGATTTCACTACCATTCTCCAATCTCTCTCTTAACTCTAAGCCTAGATAATGACCCTCCCTAGCTTTCAGTTTCAGTTTCACCTTCTCTAAGTATTAATATTTGATAAGAAACTAAAGAAGTTTTGGCAACTTCTTCTCCTTTGTTTGAATAACCAGGACGTACCTTTTTTTGTTTGTGCAATTAAAGCGGTAAGTTGCTAACACGGCTACACTTGGTGTTGGAGTTTTGTGTGTTGTGTCGGTGCGGGGAGAGAGACAATGAGAGGAATTCTTCGTCACAAAGAAAACATCAGTCTACTTCTTTTCATGGATGTTTGTGAGATGCATGAGCTGTATCCTTAAAAACACTGTCACTCAGCACTATCAAATTATTGACACGTACTTTGATGGATTTTTCTAAAATAAATAATAATTGAAATAAAAATTTGTTCTCCACCAACATAACACAAGGGTCTATTCTGGGTTTAGTCCAAGAGAACATATTCTCTAACACTTTTTTCTCACACTTTTTATTATTTAATAAGATTTATCAATATAAATTTTGATAAGCTTCACTACTAAATTAAAAAAATTATTATTAAAATATAAACTTTATGATTTTTAATAAATTTTAATTAATAACAAAATTATAAAAAAATAATGTTAGAAATAATAAGTGACATTCGTCTAACCTAAATTTATAAAACAAAGATGATAGCCAAGATAAACTTATGCATTGTTCGGTAGCAACTGAGAATGTGTGATTTAAGAGAAATTGAGAAAATAAAAAAGAGAAAGTAAAATAATTTTTATTATTGCAATCGATTGACAACTTTTAAAATTGACTGTGGGATCTCTAAAAGTTAAAAAAATATTAAATTGTATCTCGACTTATAAATGACATCAAATTTGATTCTAAACTGAACGAATAATTTTTAAGAAAAATTATTAAAAGTTATATACAGTTTACATTAATTACATGATACAAATATATTAACAAATTTAATTTTTAGTTAATTTTAAAAATAATTAAACATCTCAAAAAGAAATGAGAGATTTTGACTAATGCAAAATTCTAATCAAACAAAAAATTGTGTGAAATATTATTATATAAATTATCGTGGAATCGTTATATATATCGACAAATTTAAAGAATGTTAGGACATGTTATTTGTAACTAAGACAAATTTAAAGAGTGTTATAAATTGATGTTATTTGTAATTAAGAGACAGAGTAATATCTTTTTAATTTTTAAAAAAACTCGACATCCCAAAAACGAAGAGCATCATGGAATTTCGAAAAATTAGAATAGATAGAGTGTAATTTACTTTATACTTTATTTGGTTTTTAATATATATTAAAAATATAAAAATCATGTCTAGTCCTATTACACGTCCAATCAATTTAACTTGAATTCACGTTAGCGTCAATCAGTTTAAATTTAAATATTTCCTAAAGTTCATCCAACCCCACCAAATCTGCTCCTAATAATACCGTCTGATAATCATGAAATATTCACATATAATCCGCCATGCAATGCAACGACATAGACAAACATAAAATATGTATACAGGAAGACATTTTGATGCGTTTAAGAAGAATCACTTTTTGATAAGCTGGTGCATGATTACAAGTTACAATAGAATTGGGTTCTGCTTGAAAGTTCAGAAACTCAATTAGCGTCCATACCATTTGGGAATATCCCGAATTTGTTGAATGTGGAGACAAGCTAGTTGCAATAATTGCAACCTAAGGCTAGTTATGGCTTACGAGGATCAACAATTCGCTTCAGAATTTTGCAGCTTTAAATTAATGTTCTAAAATCAACATGGGTTGTATACTGAGTTAGGTCCAATATCGTGATTAATTGTCTGGTGATTGAAATGACATGACTTGTGTGTCTTTGGACATAAATGGAAATGTAGATAAGGTTCTTATTAGTAACAATCTGTATAAATTCATGCATGTTTGAAGTGAAAAAGGCAGAAATGACATGACTCATAATACTATATTAAAACTCAAGCAAGAAATACAACGCTCAGCACACTTTCTCACAGTACCTTAATAACCTCTCATTACAAACACATAAACTTCAATTATTACATTTTTCTGCAGCTAAAACTCATCAGTACTAATTACTTGATGGAATGCAAAAAAGATAGGAAACGAGTATGTTTGGATACATATTATAAGTACTTTTTTAGAGTTTCTTTACTGTAATTTTTTTTTTATTTTCAGTAAAAAAAATTCTAAAAATACTTATAAACTTATATCCAACCATATTTTAAAAGATAAGTAATGATTAAAAAGTGACAATTTTTGAAGTTGCAAAGGGGAACTCTCTTCAGCACTCAGGACCTCACTGAAACTCATTTATAGGAAGCAGCAACAAATCACTTGATGGTTTGAGATCTTGTCCTGGACAAGAGGGTGCACTAATTTGATAATGACAATCATCTTTGGTGAGCCTTAATAAAATCCATCAATGAGGTCTGTGCTGTCAAAGTAAAATACGATGGCAGCACCGTATTATATCTGTGAAAATAACAGTTTTGTGCAGTGTGCACAAGGATGCTCCTTCCCTGCCATGACCACACTATCCATCAGCTTCATAACTTGTTTAGCATAAGATAATGACTCAGCCTGTGTATATCACAAAATTGTCAAATAAAGTGAGATTAGTTAATTAGTTGTTAGTTGAATTATATTGTATATCTTAAATATCTTAAATGAAATTGTACATAACAGAAGATGAATAACCAGAAAACTAAAAGCTGATAATATACAGTTTGAGTTTGTTTGGGTAGGACTCAGAAACACTTTTAATTTCTCTATTAAAAATAAAAAGTTTCTTTTAGTAGAAAAATTCATCAAAGTTTGTAACAGACTCTTAGTTCATGCACACCACACCAACCAGTTATTTACCTGGAAGAAGCAATGCCAAGAAGCATAAAAAATGAAGCACTGGTTGATAATTGCATTATATGCAGCTCCATAGTTTTGACCATCAGCAACATGCATCTTCACACGCAGCTTAGCGTGTTCTTTGTGAGTGGCAGGCTCCTCATCATTGAGATACATGGTGCTTTGTGGATCTTTAAGTTGACTGAAATGTATAGTATATGGACAGCATTCAATTTTAAAAATTTTGTTAGCGAGCAAACTACAGAAGAACATATATATCATGGCTTGCCGGAAGTGCCACTGCCAATAGTCATATATATGTAATTTAATTGTAAGTTGTAACAATTATAGAACTTCTGAAAAAGTTTATTCACAGTTTATTTTTTAATCCACATTTACATTTGTTATTTGAACTTATATTATGATATAAGTTCCTGTGTAATTTTTTAAGAGAACTTGTGAAAATAGTTTGTGATCTGTTCATACTTCATAAGTTATTTTTCAAAATAACTTATGAAATCAGTTTAGAGCATATGTGAAAATAGTCTTAACATTTTTTGCACAGCCTAAATGGCTGAATCTCAATATCAAGAACGATAAAGGGTTTTGTATTAAACTACTAGTGGCTCAGTACCTGTGTTTGGGCCCAAAGCCCATCATGATGGCATTTCCGTTTCCTAAACCAGATTTAAATTCCTACTCCAAATAATTGATAAATGGTATTAACATCGGTTTCCTTAAGTCCTTCTCTGAAGCATTAATAAATTATGCCATTGCAACCATTCTCTACTTTAAGAAGCACACATCCCTTTCATAGTTGAAAATATTCCAAAGTATGTACTATTTATAATTCTCACCGATAAGGTACATGCTTGGCTGCTAGATTAAATAAAAGACCAATAATCAGAGGTAACGTGTCTCTGCCAATAAGGCTGCCAGCATTAGAAAATGTGAAGATTCACGTATAACTAGTGTATATTATAATATAGCACTTGGCACTTGGCACCAATTAATTGGAGAGGCTTTGTCAGTTTCCATCTACTGAAGTTGAGGGTTTCTATTTTCAACTTGTTATATTCAGTTTACATTGGCTAATTAATTTTAAGATAATAAATCAGTCTTAGAGACTTTGAACCAGAAAAAAACATTAGTCAATCGCATTTCCGTACACAAAATCTACACCCAATATGCATTTGATTCTTGATAGATCTGTTAATTAAATACAGTACCATTTATTTATTCATGGGACCATCTCGGTTTATTTACTGCTTTGTTTCATTAATTCCAACATATAGCTAGATCATAATAAATAAATTACCGAAATTCTTTAAAGGAGTCACCTGGTGTATGATTTTGAACCAAAAAAAAAAAAACAAACTGAAAAATGTTTTCCAATCTTCTTATTAATTGCACCAATTATCTTTACTTAGGTCAATTTAAACACTCTTTAATATATCACATAATCCAATTAGATGGATTTAGCATATGAAGAAGAATATTCGTAGAATCACACAAAAAGCAGCATAAAAGTACCTGAAAGCAACGGATATTAGGTTGTCTAGTTTGCAATGACTTGAGATCAAAATCAACCTTGGAGGGGTACACCACAAACTATTGATAATGGCCACAAGAACCTATCCAAAAGATCAATCAAGACCTCTTCCATCAAAAGCAATATCTAAACCACACCCATCAATACCAACAAATAAAAGTTTGTATCTTTGAAGTCCTAATATAAGTGTTGTGGAGAAAAGATCTGTCATTTTTTTCTCCAGCTATGAATAGAAAGCAGAAAGCAGCATAACATATATTTCAGTTCCAACCCAAACTTAATTAGCTTACCAAAAAAGGAAAGTTCCTTTAGTTTAAAGATGAGCTAGCACATGAATCATAGGGTATAGAAGAATGAAGAAGAAGAGAGAAACATACCAATGAAGTGTAATTAAGGGTAAGAAGAAGAGAGGCACACACAGGGAAGTTTATGAGCAGATCAGAAATAAAGGGGTTGTTGGCACTTGTCCCATCGGGATCTATTGCATTGTTTCCCTCACTTACATTAAAAGAGACTTAGGTCTTAAATAATCATAATGTCGGAAAATGAAAAAAATGAAAAGAAAAGAAAAAGGTGTTACGTGGATTGAACCTGGACGCATACATGGGAATATTAGAAGCAGTAAAAAAGTTTGGTATATGCACGCCGCATCTTTCTAATGTTTTCAGGAACAGAACAAAGCAAAAAGTATACACTATAGAGCATCACCATCATTCACGCTGCATCTTTAGTAATGTTTCCTTTTTCTTTTTTCTTTTTTTTTTTCCTTTCTTTTTTTCCCCTTGTGTGAAAAGAACACTAAGTAACAAAATACTATTGAAAATTGCATATATTAAAATTATGGGAGAGTGAACTTTTTTT